GTCTCAAGTCCTGAGATTACAGACCAGACCCACCTTCTCTTGAGCTACTTCTTGGACTCTGTTTCTTTCTTCCCTTCTCCACCGTCATTTTTCCTTTGTATGGACTTGTTTTTCGGCCCTTTTACTGCTTCTCCCTATGTAAGGTAGGATGGGCCTCCTCTGGCAGGGTCAGTATGGCACTCCTGTAGCACGGAACATGGGCACTCCTGGGTATTCCTCCTTGGGTGGCTGGTTGGTGGACCCTTGGAAAGTTCTGGGCCTGGCCCTCTATCTCCTGGGAGTGTGCCCCCCATGCCAGGCTGAGGTAGACAGCCCCTTCCTGCAGTCTCCCTCCTGAGGCTGGATTGGGCAGAACAAGACGGTGGGGAGGAAGGGAAGATCTGACAGCCCTGTGTCTCCCCAGGCGTGGCTGAGAAGAGCCGGGAGCGGCTGATCAGGAACACGTGTGAAGCCGTGGTTCTGGGAGCCCTGCACCCCCGAACCTCCATCACGGTGGTGCTGCAGGTGGTGAGCGACGCAGGCTCCGTATCCTTTCCTGGCCCCCTCCTCCAAAAAGTGCCCGGGACCTCCCTTGTGGCTTCCCTTCTGGTGACCCTGTAAATGCACCCTCAGCCACACAGAACCCGTGCCAGAAAGCATCTGATAAAACAAGGCCAGGACTGACAAGCTGGCTCAGTGGGTAAAGGTGCTTGCCGCCAAGCCTGACAGCCTAAGTTCAGTCCCCAAGACTCACGTGGTGGAAGGAGAGAGCCAGTTGTCTCCTGACCGCCACACAAACACCAGCAGGACACCCACACACACACACACCACACACACACACACACACAGAGAGAGAGAGAGAGAGAGAGAGAGAGAGAGAGAGAGAGAGAGAGAGAGAGCAGACAAACACACAATTGTTGAAAGTTAGCAAACAGGGCTCACTGTGTGCTGGGCACTCAAGCCCTTTGCAGGGTTGCCATTTAGCTGTCACAGAACTTGTACTGGCTAGCATTGTAATTCCCATGTAAATCCCAAGGCATGGGCTCAGGCTTTCTGCTTCGAGAGCCCAAGGGCTCCAGCATGTGTGTTTCTCTTGTTGCCGTGTTCTGGGTGAGGAAACTGAAGCTCAGAGAGCGCCCGTGTCTTGCCCAGGACAACAGCAGCCAGAAAACTGCAAAGATGGGAACTCAAGCTCGGGCCTGTCCAAGCCCAGAGCCTGAGCCAATGACGACTTCTCTGCACCTTGGTGTGAGTTTCTGGCTCTTTACTAGGGGAGCATCAAACCTACAGAATGGCCATTAGCTCCATTATCTAGAGGGATAATTGCCCATTCCATTCCCATGTGGTGGGCCTGACTTTGCCAGTGTCTTCCCTATGTGACTTTGGGAGATTCCTCTGTCTTTGCACGTTTCACTAAAGTTTTTTGGTTTTGTGTTGTTTTTTTTCCCCTGAGACAGGGTTTCCCTGTATAACAGCCCTAGTTGTCCTGGAACTCACTTTGTAGACCAGGCCAGCGTGGAACTCACAGAGATCCCCCTGCCTCTGCCTCCCAAGTGCTGAGATTAAAGCTCACTAAAGATACTTTGTACATCCTATAGTGGTATGTATCTGTTCCCTGGCAATGCATTTAACACAGGGAGACTGGGGGTTCGAGAGTCGTGTCTCCCCCCCCCCCCCCCAGCTTACTAAAGATACTTTGTACATCCTATAGTGGTATGTATCTGTTCCCTGGCAACGCATTTAACACAGGGAGACTGGGACTTAGAGAGTCGTTTCCCTCCCTCCCAGCTTACTAAAGATACTTTGTACATCCTATAGTGGTATGTATCTGTTCCCTGGCAACGCATTTAACACAGGGAGACTGGGACTTAGAGAGTCGTTTCCCTCCCTCCCAGCTTACTAAAGATACTTTGTACATCCTATAGTGGTATGTATCTGTTCCCTGGCAACACATTTAACACAGGAAGACTGGGACTTAGGGAAAAATCAGCCGGATTCATAGCTGGAGGGAGCTGATGGCAGCTACTTGGTGCCAGAACCACTTAGCCACCTTGCCTTGCTGCTGCTCTGTGATCAGTTAGCAATGTCTGCCACAGGCATCAGCCAGGGAAGTAGGGATGTGTTCTGCTGGCCAGTCCCCACAGAAGACACTCTTCTTAACGACTCTGATGCTCAGCTCTTGGCCTGTTGCCTGAACGCTGCCTGCATGGCACTGGTGGATGCAGGTGTGCCCATGCGGGCTCTCTTCTGCGGGGTCAGCTGTGCCCTGGACTCTGATGGCAATCTCGTGCTAGGCCCCACGACCAAGCAAGAAAAGGTAGGCGGGGAAACGTTAATCGTGAAGAGCTGCAACCCACTCGGTCTCCGCGCCTCCAGGCCTGCCTTGGTGCAAGTCAGTTGACTGCTGCACCCTGACCCACTTGGCAGGCACTGCCCCATTCGTCAAGGTTCATTCGGCTTTCAGTGCTGGACACCCAACTCGCACTTGCACAAGGCAGAAAAGAAACTGGCCTGCTAGCATTCGTTACCCAACTGTAGAACAGACCTCCCTCTGGTTCTCGTGCCCTGTGCCTGTCAGGATGATGACACTTAGGGAAGCATGTTTTTGGCACCTCCCAAGAAGGGTTTGATGCAGGGATGGTGACAACGGGTGCTACGGGAGCCAGGGAAGCTGGGAGGAAGAAGAGCTTCTGGGCAGGTCCTGGTTGCAGTTGTGCACACAGGGAAGTTCAGGGGTTGTCTTGACTGCGCAAGTTCGGAACCCACCTCACCTCTGTGGCTTTTACTGCAATGACTGCTGTGGGAATGGGGACCGAGGTGCTTCTCGGGGCCTCCTGGGCTTCCCTCAGATAACTGGGGATCCGTGGGGATCGGATCCCTGGCTTGCCTGTGTAGTACAGAGCTAGGAAGAGGGAGTGGGTGGTGGAGAGGCAGGCAGAGAATGACCAGCACTGTGGCTCCCCCTGTGGGACAGAATGACTGTGGTCAGAATAAAAAAGCAAAGAAGGGAAACGCTTGCCCAGGGGTGGCATAGTGTGTGGACAGACAACTGTGGTTGACCGAGAGGCTAAGGGTCCGGTCACCCCTGTTGGAGACTGGCTGAGATCTTAAAGACGAGGGTCCCTGGGCACTTATATCTTCCTCCTCTTGCTCCTAGGAGGCCCGGGCTATCCTGACCTTTGCTCTGGACAGCGTGGAGCAGAAGCTGCTGATGTCTAACACCAAAGGGCTCTATTCGGATGCCGAGGTACCGTGTGGGGGTAGGGGCACAATCCAAAACCTCTCCCATTGGCATAACAACTTGTCCCAGCTCACAGTGAGCTCTTCTTTACGTCCTTGTTGGGTGGGTGGGTACGAGTCCGGGGCTTAGTTTTTTTGTTTTGTATTGTTTTACGAGACAGGGTTTCTCTGTGGCTTATAAGCTGTCCTGGAACTCACAGAGATCCGCCTGCCTCTGCCTCCCAAGTGCCGGGACTAAAGGTGTGCGCCACCACAGCCCGGCTGGGGCTTAGTTCTTAAAGTGCTTGCCTGGCACGCACAAGGTTTCAAGGCACAAGTTTAATCTCCAGCACTTGGGAGACAGAGGCAAGCATAGCTGAGTTCAGGGCCAGCCTGGTCTACATGGAGAGTTCTAAGCCAGCCAGGGTAACATTGTGAAATCCTGTCTTAACAAGCAAAAAACCAAAAGAGAAGGTTTCTCTATCAATTTTAAAAGAATGCCTGAGTGACAGGATCAGGAAGCAGGGTTCAGCTTTGGATGAGGTGGTACATGTATCTTCCAGGTCCCCAGTCTTCAGCACAGAACAGTGCCATCTAGGATTTTGAGTTACCAAGGGACATGGTTTGGAAACTTGGTCCGTACCTATATTTCTTCTCTGGCCCTGTTGATGGTGGTCAAGATTTTGGTTTTTTGAGATAGCGTTTCTCTGTGTAGCCCTAGCTGCCCTGAAACTCACTCTGGAGACCAGGCTGGCCTCGAACTCACAGAGAACCACCTGGCTGCTGTAAAGATTTAAATCTCTAGTTTCATGGCTCTTCCATTTATTTGGATTGGGCACGGTGGCTTACAGCTGTGATCAGAGCACTTCAGAAGCTGAGGCAGGTAAGACTGCTGTGAGCTCCAGGCCAGCCCGGACTATATAGTAAAAACTTGTCTCAAAAAAGGGAGAGGTGAGGGGCTAGAGAGATGGCTCAGAGGTTAAGAGCACCGACTGCTCTTCCAGAGGTCCTGAGTTCAATTCCCAGCAACCACACGGTGGCTCACAATCATCCGTAACGAGTGCCCTCCTCTGGTGTGCAGATATACATGGAAGAAGAATATTGTATACATAATAAATAAATAAAATCTTAAAAAAAAAAAAAAAAGGGAGAGGTGAGCTGGGCGTTGGTGGCGCACGCCTTTAATCCCAGCACTCAGGAGGCAGAGGCAGGCGATCTCTGTGAGTTCGAGGTCAGCCTGGGCTACACAGAGAAGCCCAGTGTCGGGAAAAAAAATAAAATAAAATAAAACTTCCAGGCTGGGAAGACAATTCTGAAATTAAAGACTTGCTGCCAAGCCTAACCACCTAACTTCGTCCCCAGGACCAACGTGTGAGAGGAGAGAGCCAAGTTGTCCTCTAATCTGCACAGGGCATGCGTGTGCACAGGTGTGTGCGCACACTAACAGGCACGCACACTGTAAATTACATACTAAAAAGAGGAAGCAAACTTAGAGGGCCTGAGGATGTGGCTTTTATTGGCAGAGAGTTTTTTCTAGGTTGCACAAGACCCTGGGTTCCATCCCCAGTGCCGAATAAAAAGCAGGGGTGGTGGTGTACTTGGTAGACTGAGGCAGGAGGATTACTCAGCGCCATTCTGTGTCTGTCTCATCGCAGGTATGCAACACCACCGCCTTTCTGGGGTGGGAGTCAGGAGGTGGTAGAGAAGGAAATAGCCATTGTGGTGGGGAGTGGTCACCCTGGGCGCTAACTTGCTTCTCCCTCCCCAGCTCCAGCAGTGCCTGGCTGCTGCCCAGGATCTCTCACCTGGGTTTGGTCAATTAGGCTGACCTAGCCGGCCAGTGAGATCCAGAGACCCCCCCCCCCCCCACGCCCACCCCCCCCCCCCCCCCCCCCCCCCCCCCCCCCCCAGCTGCCACACGCTCCCCCCTCCACTCTACCTCTCTCTGTGCCCATGTGGCTTCCAGTCCTATAGCAGGAGGGGCTCAGGGACATTTCCAGGCCTGGGCACAACCCTCCCATCACCAGGACACCATTAAAGGGCACTCAGCTGTGTTGAGTGAGTAAGTCAGCAGCCAGTGATCGTGATGTCTGGCAAGTGCCCGGTTCCGTAGGCCTGCTGGGTGTGGAGAAGCTGACACTGAACGAGACCCAGGTCCATGTCCCAATGTGAGAGAGAGGCGTGGTGGTATGTGCCAACAGTCCAACCGCCTGGTAGAGCGAGGCCAACTTGGGCTACCCAAGACTGTTATTTATTTATTTATTTATTTATTTATTTATTTATTTATTTAAAGAAGGTGATATGGCCGGGCGTTGGTGGCACACGCCTTTAATCTCTGTGAGTTCGGGGCCAGCCTGGTCTCCAGATTGAGTGCCAAGATAGACTCCAAAGCTACACAGAGAAACCCTGTCTCGGAAAAAAAAAAAAAAAAAAAGTGATCTGGAGAGGGCTCCGCAGTTAAGAGTGCTTGTTGCTCTTCCAGAAGACCCGAGTTCAGTTCCCAGCATTCGGATCAGGCAACTAACTCATGACCACCTGTAACTCCAGCTGTTGGGCATCAGACTTCCTCTTCTGGCCTCTGTGGGCACTTGCACACACAGACAAAATTAAATCTAAAAGGGGGCATGGAGCAGTTTTAAGGGGTAGTATCAAGATTCCTTCATGGGTAAGAGTGGTGCAGCTGAAGATACCCCTGAAGGAGGCAAGTGTGACAGTGAGCTCTTGGGTAACACAGGGGAGAGCCCCAGGGGTCCAGACAGGGAGGGACAGACATCCTCATGGGGCCTTGAGGGCCACCAACAGAATCCTAGAGTGCCATATCTAGCCCCCACCTCTCCACCCCCATGAAATGGGGCTGATAAGGTCCTCATTTGAAGATGACAAACAGAAGAAAAAGCCCGGTAGCTATGTGAGGTCAACAGCTAGCATGCAGAAAAAGAAAGACCAAAGGGCCAGGAGACTCTTGTCCCAGATCCCTGGCTATTCAGGGCAACACCAGCATTCTGGGTGTAAACAAGTCACTGGGCCCCAGCCAGCACGTGTTCCCACACTCTTGGTATTAAGGGCTGGAGCCAAGCATTTGGGAATTTATAAAGATTAACTCCCACAGCCTGTCAACAGCAGTCCCCAGACAACGTTTCCTGGTGTTGGGCCCATTCTGTCTTGCACTCCGCATGCTGGGCCTGGCTCACACACTCCCCACCATCACCCACCTGGATACTCCCATAACCACGAAGGGATTGCTTGGTCTCTCTAACTTAAAGAGTTTCGACCTCTCAGATGCTGGTGGCATTTTCCATCAGGGTGGCATTTAACAGCCAGACTCCTGCCTCTTTATGACTTGATGTCCTCAGGCCCCATTTTGCAGTGACTCCCTATGCATAGCTAAGTGCTGGGTGAACCTTTCACCTACTTTGGTACCGCCAGCACTTTGTTTCTCCTTAAAGGTCCACATTCCCGGCATTCAAGAGGCAGAGGCAGGCGTCTCTGTGAGTTGGAGGCCCATTCCACAGGGACCCTGGGGACTTGACTGAAGTGGGTTTGGAGAGTCACCTTGGGAAGGAAGGTGTTTGGTCTCTAGATGATTTGAGCTGTCAGGATTCCTTTTTTTTCCCAAGAAAAGAAGTTAGGTTTGCAGAGGGAGCTATGCTCATATCACTGAAGCCCAGGTACGATGTTTTGTTGCATTTTTTCTTGTTTGTTCTGTTGGCTCTGATACTTACTTGAATTTTCAAGATGGTCTCACTATGTAGCCCTTGACTGGTTGGAACTAATGTAGACCAGGTTGGACTTGAACTCACAGAGATCCACCTGCCTCTGCCTCCCTAGTGCTGGGAGTAAAGGTGTGTGCCGCCACCCGAGCTGGCTCTGGGGTTTGAACTCAGGGACTTGTGAATTCTGAAAAGGCCGTGTACTGCTGAACCATGCCCCTGGCCCTCTTCGCCACCACAACCAACCCCAACTGGGTTTCTCTGTGTAGCCTTGATGTCCTGGAAACTCACAGGCTGGCCTTGAACTCGGGGATCTGCCTGCCTCTGCCTCCCGAGTGCTGGGAGGCAGCAGCATGTTCTGTATGTGTGTCGGAGTCTTGCTAAGCTGTTGAGGCTGGCTGTCTTCCCTCACGGTCCTGATTTAAACCCAGAACCTGGTACATGTTAGGCAAGTGTGCTACCACTAAGCTCGTCTCCAGCCTCCTGAGCTACCAGCCCCCAGGTCCAGCTCTACCACCACAATTTGCTTTTTTATTGATTATAGACAACTGAATAGTTTCTGCGTCTGCTGTGGGAAGGGCTCAGAGGAAAGGGGGGGGCGCGCACACACGGGATGCTTTGGGCTCAGCTCAGCCAGAGGGAAGAAGGGTTGAGTGAGAGACCTGGAAGACTGGCTCTAACTCGGCTCTTACTGCTGTGGAGAAGAAAGGACTTCAGGGCCCCACCACCCCCAGCTCTGAGGTCTGATGTCGGCCACAGCCTCTTAACCTTGCTGGTCCTTCCTGCTTTGGTGCCCACACCCTTCCACCCTGGACACCCAAACACACAGACGACTCAGCTTTGGCTTCAGGGTCTCTTTAATCTCTCCCATTGCTTCCTTCTGGGCGGGGCAGCCAGGAAAGCAGCAGACTCTCGCTT